AGACCCTGAAACAGAAACAACAAACCATCATCACTGTGACCAGAGTCCATCCTAGTGGGAAACCTGTATAGTACGGGGGGGGGGTGTGTCTTACCATTTCCTTATCTTCTGCATGTTTCTGCTGCTGTTCCTTGTCCCTGAATAATAATTTTGGGAGGAGTCAGTAATGTTTCACAATATGTAGAGTATGTTTTTAGGAGAGGGAGGTATTATTTGTGTACTCACTGTTTAGCTTTTGCTTTTGTCTCTGCTTTGTAATGTTTTCTCTCTTCTGCTTTCTTGGCATGGTAGTCTTCTCTGGAAGCAGAAGAGCAATGACGTGATCATTATATACAGTGATAGTCGAGGGTTTATCTGGCCCATGGATGAATTATTATAGATGCTAAAATCACTTAACTATAACTAAATGAAGCATATGCTAAAATAAAAACCCTGTAATCCTGTCAGAACATGCACTGTAATGACGTGACAGACTTGTATGCAACACAATTCGCTGTAGATAAATCTTAAATCAAGGATTAATAAAACTTACCTCGATAACACAAGCATCTCGTTGTCTTTGAACGATTTTATGTCTGAACGCTCTAGGAACTTCTTAGACGATTCTTCTGACTCAAAACAGATAAACACTGATCCCTGTGAATAAAATGTATTGAATTAAAAATAAATCTCCCCAAATTCACTTGAAAAACATTGAATTTGAATCGTTACGCAATATATTTAATATACCTTGAACTGCCTTTGCAGGTTTCTCCTCATCTGAATGTTTTCTATGGGGCCTTTCCCGTTCAGCCACTCCTGAATCTCATCCAGGGTAGTTTCGAGAGGAAAACCTTTCTAGATGAGAAAAGACAGTGTTATAATGCGGGGAAACATCGACAGTATACCCAAAGGTAAAGAATAAAATCTGATTGTGCACAAAGGAAATTTTTGGCAATGCATTTATTAAAAAAAAAAAAAGTTTCAGCACAGAATACACCTCAATCTATAGTTTTATTATATCTTGTAACACTCCCTTTCAAATGTAAACTGAAAAGCAGTCAAACAAGACAATCCCCTTCCTTGCCTGAAGGTTAATAGATTATAAGATATTGTTCTGTTTGGAGGATGTAGTGCTGTTGAGTTGCACTGCATTACACTGACAGGTGTTTCTATTACGTTATCCACCATATTCATATTCAAAATGATCATACAATTGAATCAACACCTCTAAAACAGTTTCAACTCAAACTGAACATTAACCATCATACAAAATTTCAAATAAGAATTCTGAATTAGTGTGCGAGCAATTTAAAAAACTTACAATGTACACAGATTTGTGTTTGAGTGTGTCTTTGTATTCATCATTCAGTTCGGGTAAAGGTTTGCTTGGAGACCTCCTGACTTTAGTCTTGTCTTCGCTGATTTCCAAGAGGCCAGTCTTTGATTTCTGGAGAGCCGCAACAATGACGCCGCTATCTGTAGTTAGAGACTTCAGTCTGGGAAGAGAAGACAGATGTTTCAGCAAAATTGGAGACACTACACACTATTGCATGGCTTACTTTTAAAAGGTCTAGTGTAGGTTTTAGTGGCATCTAGCAGAGTAATTGTAGATTCAGTTGATTATATATGACTGAAAACATACCCATGCATGTTATAAATACATTTCTGCCAATAAAGCCTCCTAAATGTTACACTGGACCTTAAATAAGCATCTTTGATTTGTCTCAGACAGTACTGATGTTGGGATCTTCTCTATCTGTAGGGCTCAACAGGAAATAAAATAAATCACTAGCAACTGAATTAGTGCTGCACTCCTCTTTCAAGCAATTAGGCTTGATTAGAAAGTGAAACAGCTGACTCAAACTGACTTCTGTCTGTGTACAATTCCAAATATACAGACTTTAACTCGTTGGATTTTGCCACGTCATCAATAGGAGGATCTCTTCAATTCAGTAAAATGTTCCTCTGTTCATGAGGTGTGCCTGTTTTTGTATGTGCAGGCTGTGGCTAAATGTAATCTGGCTGGTAACAAGTGCACTTCAGGGACAGGGTGAGGGCATGCGCTAATCTTGTCCTGCTTGTCATGACTCATACAATGGGTCCACAAACTGATTAGTCATCACTGTATTTCTCTTCTTGCTCAGTCACACAATTTCCAGTTTTCTACTCCTCCCATCAGCCAATTCAAACAATCTCCACCTCACCATTCCTTGATGAAAATTGCTTTTAGGTTATTTTTTTTTTTTTTTTGCTCTATCTTGTTATTGAAGCTTCGTCTGATTCAGGGCTTTGCAAAAATCGGGCAAAACAAATATTCCCTCATCAGCTGCTGAAAGCAAAAGCACAGGAGTGGGTTGGTGTTTTTAAACCTGTTGTGGTCAGTGACAACCACTATTGTGATCCACAATAATAATATTAATAATAAAGAAAACACTGTCACTACACTCGCTTTGGGCTGAGGGTGTGGTGCCAATAGCAGAGAGCCACCCAAACAATGCACTAACAGCAGTGTTATTGCAGGTAAACACTGACATTACCTACAGGTACAAATAGAGCCGGGCCCTGTTATTTCATGGACTTCCTCTTGCACATGCATGTCTGAACGTGCAAAAGACAGCTACAACCCCCTAGAGGACGGTAAAACGTGGGACTAGATGGGCACTGAAGCAGAGACTGTCAGAAGATTTAATATCAGTCAGCTTTAATTTATTCATTTGCTGTAGCTGAATTTCCTGTGTTAGCAGGGTGAATAACTCGATGTCTGTGCTCAAATTTCAGGAGTCTTCAGTGAGCAGACAGTTCAGGCAGAGAAAGAGAAGATAATATAAGATAATGGTTTGTTTTTCCTAAGGATTAAATATAAAATATCAATAAGGTGCAAATATAAAATATACACAATGCCAAAAACTATGGTTAATTCAGAATGATATTGCACGTAATGTCCCTTTACTGTACATCATGTCCCATAGCGTCCTGTAAATTAGAGAGTTGTAATAATTGTAATCCACGGAGGACAGTAATCCACAGAGATTAAACAAACAGAGCTGAAATGGAGGCTGGAGCCGCCTCAGCACCCCGTACCCTCTGCTGTCCATGTCTCTGCATGAGGTAGACGAGTCTGATCGCCACAAGAAGTAATCATTTCCTGCGATGGTAGGGAAAGTGTTCTGGGAGAGCCCTGACATTACTTGGTTTTGTGTTGTATGGGATGTAAGCAACAAAATAATGACCATCATTTAAACACACTTCCTGGTTTTAATATAGCAACCTTCTCAGTTGATTTAACTCAACTCTAAACTGTGCTGAGCTCACGCAAAGGAGAAGAGTTAGTGAATGAATTACATGAAATTAAGATAAAGTATGTAGTAACTGTTTGACTGCAGAGGTGAAGAGAAGAAAAACAAACCTGTTGAATTTAAGCATCGTCTCCAGAGTCACCCAGCCATCATCAAGCTGCAGTTGTTCTTTGAGAAACTTGTCTCTTGGGAGATTGTGATCCCCAAAGTAGTACTAGAGGTGGGAATGAGAGATATTTTAGGAGCTGAATTTAACGGACGTTTACAAAATAAAAAAGTACATTTTTGAATCAAATAATTACCTCTATTTGTCGTGCAATTTTCATCTCAGTTGAAGACATCTCTTCTTTATTTTCTGCCATGACTTCTGAGTCGGAGTAGAAAACAGTAACCTGTACTGTTGAAAAAAAAAAAAAGTCAATTAATTAAAAAAAACATTGCTCTTTGATGATCAGTATACATTTATGTAAATTTACACGTAAAAATAATTAGTCAAATAAACAATTTGAATACCAGTATCTACAGGAAACAAAAATAATCTGCTAATTAAGTTACATACTGCAAAATATTCTCTGCTTCTCATATGTGTGGACTTTCCTGTTTTAAATCAGTGCAAACTGAATGTTTTGTAGGTTTGGTCTGTTGATCAGACATCAGAGGAAGACACCTTGAGGCTCTGATATTCACTAAATATCTGCAGAGACAGATACCACAAGGGTTTTTTCTGTGTTCTGATTTCTGGACATTTGAATGAAACCAATGTTGTAGAGTAATCTAGAGAGTCCTGAACCCTTCTTTCCTATAAGCAGCAACAGGAGCTCTTGTCTGGGGTGAACTGTATTATTCTATAATGAGACACTTTATAATGTGTTACAGTTTAACAGCAAGAAAATAAACCAAAACAACATCAAACAGCTGGTTACACATCTTGAACAACTTCACCCAGGAAAATAAATCCAAAAAGCCCAAAAAAAGTGTTTTAAAAATGAGCACATAATTAACATGATGAGTTTCATTTCTCTGATGTCATGCTGCTGCTGCTAGCTTCAGAGCTAACTGCTAGCATAGCTCATAGCTCTTAGCTCTTAGCTGTGTGTTCAAACACTGAAACAACATGAGCCGGCTCACTCAGTCTGAGCACGTTGGCAGGACTTGTTCATTATGATATTTAGTTAGCGATAGGAACTCCTCCGGTAGCTCATGCTGAATCAGTCTTTGCACTGTGCGGTAACTCCTCTGGTAGAAAGCGTGCTGCTCAAACATGCTACACGAGGAAAGTGTCCTTAAAGTGAAGCTGGAGAATGTTTCAGAGCTAAAGTATAAACAACCCATACAAAGCCTCTGTTGCACCACCTTGAACAGTGAACTTACGGTACGCTGACTCGGTGCTAGCTGCAGTTTTAGCTCTTCAAACCAAAAGTCCTGACTTTTCTGCTCGCACGTTGTGGAACTGCGTGCTACGGTGCACAGCGAGGACCAAAAAGAGGAATCAGCGCCAACGCCACTGTGGCTCTCCGGTAGAGTGGATCCTCCACACGTGTG